TCCTAATCTCAGGAAACAAACTGAGGGTTGCTGGAGTGGTGGGGGGTGGGAGGGATGGGGTGGCTGGGTGATAGACATTGGGGAGGGTATGTGCTCTGGTGAGCGCTGTGAATTGTGTAAGACTGTTGAATCACAGACCTGAACCTCTAAAACAAATAATATATGTTAAAAAAAAGAAGCAGCAGCAGAAGAAGATAGCAGGAGGGGAAGAATGAAGGGGGGTAAATCAGAGGGGGACAGTAAATCAGACTGTGGACTCTGAGAAACAAACTGAGGGTTCTAGAGGGGAGGGGGGTGGGAGGATGGGTTAGCCCAGTGATGGGTATTAAAGAGGGCACGTACTGTGTGGAGCACTGGGTGTTACACGCAAACAGTGAATCATGGAACACTACATCAAAAACTAATGATGTAATGTATGGTGATGAACATAACATAAAAAAAAAAGTACTTTACCAAAAATGAGCTTAATGCGTCTGCCTTCGGCTCAGGTCATGATCCCAGGGTCCTGGGATCGAGTCCCGCATCGGGCTTCCCGCTCCTTGGGGTCCTGCTTCTCCCTCTGTTTCTCTCTGTCTCTCATGAATAAATAAATAAAATCTTTAAAAAAAAATGAGCTTAATGTTTGAAATAAATTACAGAAAAGAACTTCTCTTTAGAACACATCAACCTTCAAAGTTAATAAACTTTGAGTGTTTCTTTAGCAAAGGAAACAAATATTTAGAGACCAGGACCTAACATACAAAGAGACTTTCTGCATCACCTCTCCTATAATTGAGTCTGGGTGCCATTATTGAGGGTACTCTGGCTAATCTTAATTGTTGTGATGATATGAGGGGATATGATCTATAAGGTGATCAAACCACATGGGGTAGAATATTAAGAACCATTGTTAAGTTAGAGGATGGAATGAAATGAGATCGAAACAAGTCAGGCATTTGGTCTTGGTATTTCCTGTTGTTAGTGCTAGAATAGTTTACTTTTTCTTTTAAAAGACAACAAACCTAATTTTTCCTCTGATAGTTGTACAGTATAATGCACATATACATATGTATCCACATATACATATATAGAGCCGTGTTTGATGGCCAAAAAGGAAGAGGCCCCAAGGGCTCTTTAGTGTGTAATTAATATTTTGGTCAGAAAATCAGATTGTTTCAGTATGGTTATGTGTTATGACATCATATTCCAGTAAAGTCATAATGAACAGAAATTTTGTTTGTCTCTGTGGCAAACCAAAATGAGTTTTGTAATTGTCAGCAGGCCTTAGCGATTACAGTGGCGCCCACTCCCTCTCCTGTAGTTAAAGGTCTGTTAGCATTCCAGTTGTGGACCTCTGTTTTCAGAAGTGTATAATTAATTGTAAACATTTGCTCTATGGTGAAAGCTTGCCATATAAGATCTTAGTACAGGAGTAAATTTCTGATTTCAGGTTGTCTGTTTTAAAGTTTTATAGTGGAACGAGTTAAAAATATGCACAGAGTTCTGTGTAGGTGGAATACTGAATTTTGTGGTATACAATATGAAGATAACCTGCATTTAATGTATTAGTCTGTTAGGATATCTGCATTAAAGGGGGATCTAAAATAATAGGAAAGTGCACTTCAGGAGTGCAGTAGGAAATTGTGCACCTCAGTGTACTACTTATTGTAATCAAAGAGCAAAACAGATTGTGGTTTTTAATGCTTTTTAGTCTTTGCATATTAAAAGTCTTTTACCATAAGTGGTTTTTTCTTCCTTTAACTTTTTTATATTTGCCAATTAAAAATGAGAACCTATGACATAATAAAAACACATATTGCTTAAAATTGCTTAAAATGCTTTATCTTAAAGTAATAGAAAACTGTGGGCCAAGAAAATTGACTCTAAGAATTTAAAACAGCGACTGTTTCTTTTTTTTCATACTCTGGATTTCTCCTCGATGTTTGACACTGTTGATTTCCCTGACATTGTGCGGTAATCTCTTTTCTAACTCTGACCCTCTTTCATCTCCTTCACTGCTGTCTATTATTTCCCCTGCCTTTTGATCATGGGCCTCAATCAGATCCCAGCCTTAGGCTCTTTTTTGGTTCCTTTACACTTACCCTTTCCAGGTGCTTATCCACTCACATGGTTTCAATTACTGCCTCCCAAATCTGTATCTTCAGTGCTGGTGTACCTTTCTAGTCCTTTACCTTCTGTAAACCTTCCCTGATTACTCCCATCTGCCTGGTGAATTCTTACACAATGGGCTCTGTCCAGTTTATCTCAGGGAATATGGAACACTGCTCTTGGGCTGTTCAGTAATGATCCAGAACTCAGTAGGACTTCAATTGGACTTCTCTTTGCTTGGAACAGACAGTTTTCAGCACTGGCGTTATTTTAACTTAATTTTTGGCATTACATTGTATATCCACCATTGCATCAAAATCATTCCTTTTCAGTTTTGTTAAATTGCCCAATTCAGTGGTCTTAGTTCTCGGTCATCATTTTCCTTGACTTGTGAGTATAATTTGACATAGTTGACCCCTCTCTCCTCCAAGATAGATTTTTTTCCCCATTTGGCTTTCAGGAAGGACACTGTGCTTGCCTGGTTTTTCTCCTGTTACTCCTTCCCACAGAGTTCGCACTGTCTTGAGGCTTTAAAGATTTCATTTATTTTTGAGAGAGAGAGAGCAAGAACAAGCATGGGGAGGCGGTGCACAGGGAGAAGCAGACTCCCCACTGCAAGGGGCCTGATGTGGGACTTGATCTTGGGACCCTGGGATCATGACCTGAGCCAAAGGCAGACGCTTAACCTACTGAGCCACCCAAGCACCCCTGTCTTGCGGCTTTAAATACCATATATATATATATGGTATTTATATATGGTATATATACTATATATATATATATGGTATATATACTATATATATATATATGGTATATATACTATATATATATATATATGATTCCCAAATTTTATATTTACTTTGGACCTCTTTCCTGGAGTCCAGACTCAGAAATCTGACTATTCACTTGACATCTCCACTTGGATGTCTAAACAGGCTGAATAATTTAACATTTCCAAACGAGAGCTGCTGATACGCATGCCCAACAAATAAATCCTTCTGCATGCAGTCTTCACCAATTCACTGTATGGGTACTCTGTCGTCCACTTGTTCAGCTCAGAAACCTTGGAATCATCCTTGACTCCTCTTTCATGTTCCATAACTAATCCTTGGGTAAACCCTATCAGCTCTACTTATTATTAGTATTTTTTTGTTTGTTTGTTTAAAGATTTTATTTATTGAGAGAGAGAGTGCATGTGCACCAGGGCAGGCAGGGGCAGAGGGAGAGGGAGTGAGAGAATCTCAGACTCCCTGCTGAGCACAGAGCCCAGCGCAGGGCTCAATCCCATGACCCTGAGATCATGACCTGAGTTGAAATGAAGAGTCGGATGCTCAATTGACTGAGCCACCCAGACACCCCCTATCAGCTCTACTTTTGAAATTCATTCAGAATCCAGCTGCTTCTCATTACTTGCATTGCTGCCACCTTAGTTCAGGCCCCTGTTGCTTTTCTCCTGTATTTTTGTAGTAGTCTCTTGATAGATCTCCTTGCTTCCATTATCATTTGTCTACAGTCTGTTCTCAACATAATAGTCAGGTGATCTTCCAAAATGCAAGTCAGATATGTCGCTCTCTTCCAAACCTTCTAGTGGCTGGCCATTTCACTAAGGATAAAAGTCAAATCCTTACAGTAATTTCTAGGTAAGGCCCTATGGAATCTGGCTACTTCTTTTCATTTCTTAACTTTTCTTTTCGTATCCCTCCACTATAGCCAGATAGGCATCTTCTGAATCACTTGAACATGCTTGGCACACTGCTGCCCCAGGGCCTTTGCACTTGCTATTTTTCTCTGCCTCAAGTGCGCTGTTCCAGATATCCGGGTGGCTTTCTCCCTCACTTATTTTAGGTCTTTACACAATTGTCATCTTTTCAGTGAGACCCTCCCTGGTCACCCTGTCTAAAACCCACCTCCCTGACATGTCTGACCTTTCCTTTTTCTCTTTAACTTAGATCTCTAACATACTAGATGTTCTGCATATTACCTTATTTATTATCTGTCTTGCCCAGTACAATGTGTTTTTGTTCATTGTCATATTCCCTCTTCATAAAGAATATCCTCCATAAATAATTGTTGAATTAATCAATTTCATTGCATATCCTCTTAATTATTTCTTCTTCATTTCTTCTAGTTTGTTCTTCATTCAACCCTGATATCCCCTCATATTTGCATCACTATTTCCTAATTGTGACTCCTTGCTTCAGTAGTTAAACACAAACCTGCTAAAAATTTTCTCTTTAAGTATATTTTATTATAATATTGCTTATCTGCTCAAGAATTGGCTTACCTCCCCATTCTTTCTTATGTTCAGTCTGATCTTATTACTTGGCAAAGTACTTATTCCTTTGGAATGGAGTAGTAGCTCCATCTCTCTGCCTCCCCCATGTCTAGCATAACTGTCTTCTGCTGAAGTCACCGTCCTCTGCATGCTGTCCCCTAAATGGGCTTGCCTGTCTCCTGCATCTGTTGTGGCTCCCTTCAGCACCAGACCATTTGGCTCACATCTGTCAAAATCTGACTGAAAACTTCTTACTAAAAGTTTTCCGTGATATAATTGAATAATTTTTACCATATTATATTTTAATATTTTTTCTATAATATGCTTTTCATGGAGAAATAGATCTATAGTTGTATTGACTCATATTTTATTGTTTATAAATACATTCGTGAAGTTAATACTTGATTGGGGTCATGTTTTCTATAATATGCTTTTCATGGAGAAATAGATTTGTAGCTATATTGACTCATATTTTATTGTTTATAAATACATTCGTGAGGTTAATACTTGATTGGGGTGAATAAGAGAGTATAGTACATTATATAGTTACTATCATTTTCAAGAAAACAAATGTTACTCATGATTACAGAATGGTTGTATTGGACTACCATTAATATTTTTTATTTTTTTATTTTAGGTATCATTGCCCAATGCCCAAGATCTTTTATGTTCAGCTGACTGTAGGAAATAATGAATTTTTTGGGGAAGGAAAGACTCGACAAGCTGCTAGACACAATGCTGCAATGAAAGCCCTTCAAGCACTGCAGAATGAACCTATTCCAGAAAAATCACCTCAGGTATGTTACTGCTACCTGTGACAGTCTCTTCCTTATAGTTCCCCAGTGAGATTATTGACAAGACAAATAAATGCATTTCTATAAATAAAAGAGATAATCTCTTCTGATAGGAAAGAATATTAGAGTGGTGACCTGCTATGATTTGCTTCTCAGATCACCTGTCTACTGTACTAGACTCATGTGTTCCTGCTAGGACGACCTTACCTTTGAGGACTTTGGTTCACCTATGGAGTTTTCTTCTCAGGCAGCACAGGACTTGAGGATGTGAGCAAGGATGAGAAATAGCATTCATTTACCTTTCATTTAATGCTGTGTTTATTGAACAGAGATTACATTGTGTTCGTTTAGAATCAAGGAATTGAAAGTGGAAGAGATTTTCGTGGACTTTTTTCAGTCCTACTTTATTTTATAGACCAGGATATCGGCTGATCTTGAGTAATTGCACCCATTTCCCATGGCTTCGGCTGCCTTCTCTGTTGATTTCAAAATAGTATCTCTGGCTGACATGTCTTATAAGTCACCTCCTTATTGAGTTCTCCACTTAGTTACTGCAAACTGTTCTGTCCAACTCCTACATTTCCCGTGCTCTCAAACCTCTTGTCCTCCCCGTCTGAGATTCATCTTAGTTAATGGCTGACTTAGGTATTTTTCTCCTTGTACACTTTCATTATGATTCTTACCTGTTTGCTTATCTGTTTTCACACTAAGTCATAAGTTTCTTGGCAGTAGGAATACTGTCTCTTGATCTTTTTATCTCTAATACCCTGTGTTCAACATATATGAATCTCTTCAGAAGTATGTGTTAAAGAAGTGAATAACTAAATTGGTGCCAAAGCCAGAGATATAGCTCCAGAACCCTGACTTGCATCTTATAAGCTTTCTATAGTTTAGTCTTTACAGAAGATTAAACAGCATATTAGAATATCAGGGAAAGGGGTGTGTGTGTGTGTGTGTGTGTGTGTGTGTGTGTGGATAGGTGGGGGATAGACATCTCTAAAGAGAATTGAGTCTGGGGACATAGAATAAACTCAAATTAGTATATGGTTGACTAAAAGATTTCCACACTCAGCATTTATTCTTCCACTTTGAGCAAAAAAAAAACACCCTACAAATTAAATCACAAAATGCCTCGCAGCAAAGCCCACAACTCCTGTGGTTATATAGGAATCCACAAGATACAGTCTCTGGTTTCTTGTTTCTTACAGTATTTTAAATAGGCCCTCTTGATTGTAGAATATATATACAGTTTGTTACAAAGTGAAGACTCATCGTCATCCTGTTTTTTGTGATTTAGAACGGCGAATCAGGAAAAGAAATGGATGATGACAAGGATGCGAATAAATCTGAGATCAGCTTAGTGTTTGAAATTGCTCTGAAGCGAAATATGCCTGTCAGTTTTGAGGTATGTGCTCAGTAGTGATCTTCCCTTTCTCTCCCCCTGCTCCTCACTATTTAAAATAAACAAACTAATGAACCAGTGTACTAGTATCCTGGAAGAGTTAACGTGCTTCCTTATGCTCAGGTTCTCCATCATGAACTCATACAGGCCCTGGGAATAGAACTTACTGCAGTGTCACGGATTTCTGCTGGTTTCTTCGGCTTTTCTGTATTAAATAATTCGTATATATGATGTTTTCATTTTGATCATAACGTTTTGTGAGTATAAGATAATTTGTAGTAAGGTTTGGTGTTTTTAATGGGATTAAATTCAAAGTATTCAAGTTAAAAGTGACATGTATATATTACTACTAAATTCTTCTAAATTTGTGGAATCAAAATAGGTTTAAATTTAACTTTTACTAATAAATCACTAAGAAGTAATTAAGCAGCTCTCTACAACCAGATAAACATGTCACAAAATGTTTATAAAATGTGAAATTTAAAAGGGAAAAATTTTAAATTATTATAATACCTCCTTCATTAAGAGGTCACTAATTTTGTAACTCAGATATCTAGAAAATAGGCAAAACCCAGGAAATAAGCTGACACAGTTATGGAGTATCCTTCAAACTATGGATGTTCACCAACTAGAAAGCTCCCACATTTTATTTACTGGCAAGATCAACCAACCTCAACCAAGGACGTATCTCCTTAGACACAATTCTCAGTTGGGTTATCTGATCTTTCACCCTATGGCAGATTAAAAGCAGCAAAATGAGGAAGGCAGGGATGCAAAGTACTTGAGGGCCTGATGGTCCCAGCAAGAAATGATAGGGGAAATACAGAAAAGCTATCTCAAGTAATTGCATATACTAAAAAAAATATTGGAACATGGGCCTTTTAAAGGCTACAATGAATAGGAACAATTTTATAAGTCTTAGAAGTCCTTGGAAGCATCAATATATTATAGTATAGAATATTTGGTTTTCATAATGATGATCTAATGTGAGCAATAAAAGGTCAGATATTTAGTATTCTCTGTTAAGTCAGTTAAGTACATACTTCTTCTTTTTAATTGAAGAGGATATCCATCAAAGTAGTTAAACAGTTCTGGTGTTTCAATTAGTAAACTTAAATTACATGGAAAGTATGCTCATCATACGTTTCTTATCCCCAATAATGTTGAATTATTGAGATACTTTGTTGTTTTCCTTTTCTTTTCCTAATTGGTATCTAATATTAGGAGACAGAATTTTAATATAAAGTTAACGGTAAACCATTTAACTAAATAGAGTATCTTTTATAGGTCAGAATTTTGAAGGAGACTGAAGTTGTGAGCATTTGGGTTTTAGAAGGCATTTTTCCTAAAAAAGCTGGCATAGTTTAAAGAACACATTAATACAGGGTTTAGGAACATTCATGGCTGACAGATTCATAATCCATTACTTTAGAAAGATAGGTATTTTTTATGGTATGTCTACTTACCTATTTAAGATCATGTCGCAGAAAGTAAACATTCCTTTCTATAAAACAGCCTTTGAGGCCTCCATCAAAAATAGGTTATTTTCACCCATAAGTTATTTTTGAGAGGCTTCCACATGAAGGATGCTTTATGGGCTAGAGAACCCCAGGAAGAAGTAGTCTTGTACTTCAGTAACTTATTACAGAGAAGAAATTAGAGATGTACACATTTATATACAAATTATTGTTATGGATGGTCTCTGCACCTAATCCAATATGGTATGTTTTATATTCTTAATTTTCTGTTCCATAAGAAACTGGGTCACCATAATTAGAATTGCCTATTTTAAGCTAGTAAAACACAAATTTTGACTATGAATTGAATGTATTTATTTGGTTTTTTGTTCTTTTGACTTCAGTTCATTAAGCATCATAAGTATCATAAATGAATGTCCCTGTATAATATCTATATAACTTTATTAAATAAATCTATAATTTTGGCATAATTCTTTATAATTTCAATTTTGATTATGACGTGAACATTTAAAACAGACTCATGGGATGAGAACATTTCGTAAGTGCCTATGTTAAATATTTTACTTATATTTAATAGGTTATTAAAGAAAGTGGACCACCACATATGAAAAGCTTTGTTACTCGGGTGTCAGTGGGAGAGTTCTCTGCAGAAGGAGAGGGAAATAGCAAAAAGCTCTCCAAGAAGCGTGCTGCCACCACTGTCCTACAGGAGCTTAAGAAACTTCCGCCTCTTCCTGTGGTTGAAAAGCCAAAATTATTTTTTAAAAAACGCCCTAAAACAATAGTAAAGGTAAGTGTGTGCTTGTGAACACTGGTCAGTTTTGCTCTATAAAATTATAGTGACTGTAGGTAAAAGTTTTTCCATGGGGCAGGCACCTACCCCTATGCGTTACATGTCGCCCCAGAATCACGGTTGGCCCTGGACTGTAAGTTAGTAACAGTTCTGTTTTGCTTTTAGACACTGGACACCTGCATTTGTTCATCAGATAATCATACCTTCCATATTTATAGTTTTCTGTGGTTTAAAAGATACTTTCTCATTCATGATCCCCTTTAGTGTCATTCTCATCAGGACTGTGTAAGGTAGATGATGTCACCTCTTCTTACAAGTAAGGTTTTATGAAACGTGTTCAAAGAATTTGCTCGCTTTTATTCACCTGGGCTGTGGAGCACCTTGAACTACTCTGATGTCCAGTGCCGTGGTCTTTCTGCACACTAGGCTGCGATAGAGTACCTTCTTGGGATATCATGAAATGGTGGTAGGTTGCAGAGTAATACTCATATGACTGATACCAGTGTGGGTGATAGCAGCGGCTCATACATAGAAAGCACTGTGTGTCCCAGCACTTCATGTGCTTTATCACATTTAATCCTCATAGCAGCCCCATGAGGTAAGTGGTAGTATTTTGTTTCTGTTCTTTCAGGCATGTATAGCTTGCCAAAGAAGAAAACAGAGCACACACTTTTTCAAGATTTTGTAACTCTTTCTTTCAGTAGAGCAGATTTTTTTTTGTTTACACTAACAACAACAACAACCAAAAAATGGGTGAGATGATTCAGCCCTGCGTACATGACACTGCCTGTGAGTGCTCAGTATGTATGACTTGCATGAGCTAGAGTTTCGCTAACAGAGAAAGCCTTCAGTTGCCAGCATGTCAGTTGCCAAGTCAGTGTCTCTTAGCAGACTTCTGGTTCTGCTCTACAAATCAAGGATTACAGAACTGAAGCTCGGTTAACCCTTGAACAGCATGGGTTTAAACTGCATGAGTCCATTTATATGCAGATTTTTTCTGTAAATACAATATGGTAAATGTATTTTCTTTTTCTTATGATTTTCTTTTTTTCTTGTGATTTTCTTAGTAACATTTTTCTTCTACTTTAGTTTAAGAATATAGTACATAATACATACAACATACAGAATATGTGTTAATTCACTGTTTTAGGTTATTGGTAAGGCTTCTGATCAACCATAGGCTATTGGTGGTTAAGTTTTGGGGGAATCAAAACAAAAAAAACAAAAAGAAGTTATACATGGATTTTTGACTGAGTGGGGTATTGGTACTCCCCCCTCCCCCTCCCTGCAGCGTTGTTCAGGGGTCAACTGTACGTTTTATCTCTGATGAACCTCTTTTGTTTAGATAATACAATGGTCAAACTACAGTATTTTTATAGATTTTCTGCCTTTTGCACCTTTGTTTTATTTAAAAATACATGTATACATATTTACATAAATAACTATATAAACACGTGTTCTTATTTTTTTTTATAAAGATTTTATTTATTTATTTGACAGAGAGAGAGAGAGAGAGAGCACAAGCAGGGGGAGTGGCAGGCAGAGGCAGAGGCAGAGGGAGAGGGAGAAGCAGGCTCCCGACTGAGCGAGGAGCCCAATGTGATAGCCCAATGTGATGCGTGGCTCGATCCCAGGACACTGGGATCATGACCTGAGCTGAAGGCAGAAGCTTAACTGACTGAGCCACCCAGACACCCTATACATGTGTTCTTAATGAATACTATCATTATCTCACTGAGAACGTGTAGGTTATGAGTTCCCTGAAATAGCATTCTATATTGTATATAAGGATATACTAAAAATAAATGCCAAATAGATCCACTTATCATGAGTCCTGTTGATTCTGAGGGCTGGCTTTCATTCATATGCTCTAACCACATGGTTAGGGAGTAGAATATGGCTTTACGAACATAACGTTTGGATTCAGTTTTGAGTCTGAACCCCCTGTGACCTGAGCAAGTTACCTAACTTTTCTGATCTTTTATTTCTTTGCATATGAAAGTAGGAATAATAATTGAACTTGCTTCATAGGGATTGTTATGTGTTAACTGAAATATACACAGAATGTGTTAGTAATTATTATTAAATATCAACAATACAAATTGTAAGTGCTCAGTAAAGATTAACTATTGTTATTTTGTATCTAACTCTGTCTGTTCACATCTTACATGTATGTGAGTATATCCATGGTCTGTTTTCTTAAGTATTGTTTTAAGAATGTTTTATTATTGAGGTATAGTAGAAATACAATGAAATATTCGTGTCAGTTGTACAATGTACTGAGTCAGCAGTTCTACACATTACTGAGTACGTAGTCACCATCTGTCACTGTTCGTTATTACAGAACTATTGACTGTATTTTCTATGCTATACTTTTCATTCCTTTAACTTACTTATTTTGTAACTGGAAGTTTTTAGCTCTTAATCCCATTCACCTATTTCACCCATCCCCCTCCCCTTTGCCAAACACCAGTTTGTACTCTGTATTAGTGAGTCTGTTTTGTTTTTTTTGTTTTTCTTAAATATTTTTATATATAAAATCTATAGCTTTTCCATGATGGAAGAACAGTGCTCTGCATCAGAGTGGCAGCACAAAACTGGTCACAGTAATTTCCATCTAATTTATTAAACTAAATCGAATCTTAGTAAGTTACAAATAATGAGCCATTAGGCTAGAAAAGATCTATACATTTTTATGGTAGGATATAAACATAACCTTGTTGCTTTTAACTTTAGCCATTAAAAGCAAGATTATTGTTTAAATGTTATTCCCCAGAGTGGGGATAAACATTTTGGATTCTCAAAATTATTTGCTGCTACTTCTACTATATAAGCATGTTATTCCAGAACTTTCTTCCTATCCACCATTCATATCTCAGCTTGAACTTGACTTCTTTAGGGAAGCCTTCTTAGTTCTCCCCCACTCCCAGATTAGGTTAGCCCCTTGCATTTTTCCTCACATACATCACACTTGGAATTATTTGTAACCGTGTCTGTCTTATGTTAAAGTAAAGCCTATAGACATCTTCTGAAATGTAGGGTTATTTTGAGAAAGCAGCATGCATACAATGAGTTGGAATCTAGGTAATTTTTAAGTATGGTGGGCCAATAAATGGGTAGGTTGAAATAATATCTTGATTTTTCAGAATTTTTATCCTTCTTTATAGGTCTTATACATCTAGGCTCTACAGTTCTTTATTATGCAGTAGAAGCAGAGCATAAACTGTTGATGATTTGCCTTGACTTTATTTAGAATGAAACATCACATTATTTTAATTTTCTTAATCATGCTGTGATGTAGCTGTTACCTTGTTTTACAAATGGGATCCTTGATGTTTAAGAAACTTACCCAAGATCACGTAACAGGTTCTAGGTCCAGTCATGTCTGATTCCAGTGTCCATTTGAAACTGGTTGATTATGAACTCCTTTTGGATTTTAAGATTAACTCTGTAGAGTTACCTTGTTAAAATGTAAGACTGCCCTAGTGATGTCTCTGGGTTTATATTTTGTTTTTTAATGTAGTTCTCTTCTATAAGATGAGACTTCAGAGAATGTATTTCCGATGTTGGAGATAAAGTTTTCTGGACACAACTGTTAAAAGACCTTCTATACTAGTTTGGGAAAGATAACATAAGACTTGATATCCAAGGAATAACTTAATTGTCAAGGATGCTAGTAGTTAATTTCAATCAAGGGAAGAAACCAGCCATTCTTAATGTTCTCAGACTCCATTATTACCTAATTGGATTTTGGCATCTGTTTTTTTGTCATTGGAATCCATATCAACAACAGTGTTTTGGAACTTAAGAACTTTTTTTTAAAGAGGGAAGGACGGGCAGAGGGAGAGGAAAGAGAATCTTAAGCAGGCTCCATGCCCAGTGTGGAGCTGGATGCGGGGTTCAGTCTCACGACCCTGAGAACATGACCTGAGCCAAAATCAAGAGTCAGACGCTTAACTGAGCCACCCAGGTTCCCCATGGAACTTAAGAACATTTTTATAAAGAGGCAAATTAAACAAGAATAGAGTACATTGGAAGTACATTTTTATTTGAATATCTTCATGAACTAGGCATACTTCTAGCCCTAGACTCAAAAGCTTCCCTTCACCTTTTCACTGATATTCCAATCTTAGACTTGTAACTAATTGTCAGTATTAGTCTTTTCTCATCAGTACTTTACTTCCTTTAGTTTTCATTTTTTTGGTATGTAAGTAGAGGTAGAAAGCATTATTTTATTAAAAGTTAACATTTTCCTTATCTCTCCTCTTGTTCCACCTATTACAGTACTAAAGTTTTCAGTCTTTTTCTTCTCTTACTCTCCCCTAGGCTGCTCTTCATACTTTTAGGGCTTCAGTTCAGTATTTATGTAGATGATTCCCAAATGCTCTTCTGTGCTCTACACTGCTTATTGGACATCTTCACTTTGTAATTTCACAGGCACATCAAACTCATCATAACCTCCTCCTCTTCCAGCATTCCTTTTTTTTTTAGATTTTATTTATTTATTTGACAGAACGAGAGCGGGAACACAAGCAGGGGGAGTGGGAGAGGGAGAAGCAGGCTTCCCGCCGAGTGGGGAGCCCAATGTGGGGCTTGATCCCAGGACTCTGGGATCATGACCTGAGCTGAAGGCAGACACTTAACGACTGAGCCACCCAGGCGCCCCCAGTATTCCTTACCACAGTGCCTGGCATCACCATCCCACTGCTGAAACAAAAACCTGGGAGTCATTTTTAACTTCTCTCTTAGCCATTATATCCAGCCAGTCATCAAGTCCTATTGAATCTATCACTTAAGTATTTTTTAAGTTGGTTCATTTATTTCCATCTCTCTGCCACCCTTTTGATTCAACTCAAAATCGTCTCTTGCCTGAACTGTTATAGCAGATTTTTAATTGGCCTTCCTATAATACTTTTGACATTAACTGATCTTTTAAAAAATGTTATCTTTTAGAGACTTCAGTCAGATCATGTCATGCCTCTGCCTGAAATCTTTTAGTGATTTCCCATTGCTCCTTGGATAGAGTCCAAAATCCTAAATTTAAAAGATCCTGCAGGATCCGACCTGCAGCACCAAACTAGATACAGTTGAGAGCCAGCAGTTCTCAGGAGGAGCTCACTCTATACATAAGTTTAGTGTAACATCCGTCATCTGTAACATAGTGATAACCCTTGTGTCTAATACCTGTTTTAGAAGAAATTTTCACAGCTGGAAATAAAGTTCTGACCATTTGATAAATACAAAAGCTTTACTTCTAGGGATAATATATGAAGAAAGTTCATATGCACAGAGATTTGCAAAGGTTTTTTGTTTTTAAACCTTTTAGAAGGCACTAAAACAGCCATATGTAAGTTTTTTAAAAAGATTTAAAAAGCTTTCCTCATAAACATTACCCATATAATGTTAAAAATAGAGTGTCTTCTAAATGGTTTATATAGTATTTGTATTTATGTTAAAAAGCATATTAAGTAACAGTAAGACCTCCTGCCCGACTTGGATAGAGAACATCTCTCAGTGACATTGAAGCTGGGTGTATGCCTTTCCTGTCACATCCAGATACCACCTCATGTAGTGAATCACAGTCATTAGTTTCATATCTAGCAATTCCTTACCTTATAATTTTACTGTATGTTTTTCTGAAAAAATGGCATTTGGTTCGTTAGCTTTTTAAACAGCTTTGTGGAGGTATAATTGACATATAATGAAGTGTACATATTTAAAGCTTGTGATTTGGTATGTTTTGATTTATGTGTACACCTGTGAAACCATGACCATAATCAAGGTAATGAACCTATCCATTGCTCCCAAAAGGTTCCTCGTGCCCCTTTGTAATCTGCCCCCATCCTCCATTCCCAAGAAAGTACCCTTTTTTTGGCTGGCTTCTTTCACTTAGCATAAATCATTTTGACATTCACTCATGTTGTTGCATTTATCAGTTATTGGTTCTGTTTTAATGCCAAGTAGTTTTTTTGTTGTATAATTACACCACCCTTTGTTTATCCATTCATCCTTTGGTGGATATTTTGGATGTTTCTCATTTTGGGCTGTAAATAAAGCTGCTATGAACATTTGTGTATAAGTCTTATTGGCATAAGCTTTCCCTTTTTGGGGGGGAGTGGTAAATGCTTGGGAGTGAGTGACTTGGTCATTTAGTAGGTATATATTCAACATTTTAAGAGATGGCCAGTTGTTTTTAAAAGAATGTACTGTTTTACATTCTCATCAGCCATGTGTGAGAATTCTAGTTGCTACACATCCTTTCTCATACATAGTATAGTCTTAAATTTCAGTTGTACAAATACATGTGTATTGATACCCCGTTGTGGTTTTAATTCACATTTCTCCAGTAACTAATGATATTGAGCATTTATTTGTGTTTGGTAGCACATCAAGCCTGATGAAGTGCTCTTCAGATCTTTTCCCATTTAACAAATTAAGCAATTTAAATAATAAAATAATAAAATTCAAATAATAATAAATTTATTATTGAATTTTAAGAGGTCTTCATATACTTAGGATACATGTTATTTTTTTCTTTTCTTTTTTTTTTTTTTAAAGATTTTATTCATTTATTTGAGACAGAATGAGAGAGAGAGAGAGCACATGAGAGGGGGGAATGGGAGAGGGAGAAGCAGACTCCCTGCCGAGCAGGGAGCCCGATGCGGGACTCGATCCCGGGACTCCAGGATCATGACCTGAGCCTAAGGCAGTCGCTTAACCGACTGAGCCACCCAGGCGCCCAAGATTTTTTTTTTTTTTTTTTTTTTTGACAGAGAGAAAGAGAGCGAGAGCAGGAACACAAGCAGGGGGAGTGAGAGAGGGAGAAGCAGGCGTCCTGCTGAGCAGGGAGCCCGATGCGGGACTCGATCCCGGGACTCAAGGATCATGACCTGAGCCGAAGGCAGTTGCTTAACCAACTGAGCCACCCAGGCGCCCCACGTTATTTTTTTCAATGAGAATCCTTTTTTTTAATTGAAGCATAAATGACATGCAATATCCTCTTAGTTTCAGGTGTACATCATAGTGTTTCAATACTTTTATACATTATGAAATCCCCATTAAGTCTAGTTACCATCTGTCACCATACATAGTTGTCATTGACTGCATTCCCTATGCTGTACGTTACGTCCCTATGACTTACTTATTTCCTAACTGGAAGTTTCTATCTCTTAATCCCTTTACCTAGTTCCCCCTCCCCTCCCCATACAAGTTCTTTTTTTTTTTTTAAAGATTTTATTTATTTATTTGACAGAGAGACTCTGACAGTGAGAGAGGGAACACAAGCAGGGGGAGTGGGAGAGGGAAAAGCAGGCTCCCCACTGAGCAGAGAGCCCGATACAGAGATAGAGAGCTCGATCCCAGGAACCTGGGATCATGACTTGTGCTGAAGGCAGTCGCTTAACGACGGAGCCCCCCAGGCGTCCCTACAAGTTCTTTATCAGATATGTGATTTGCAAATATTTTCACCAAGCCTATGACTTGTCCTTTTCAAAGAACAGAAATTACTAATTTTGAAAAAGTCCAATTTATTATTTTTATGGAATATGATTTTAGGGTTGTACCTAAGCAATTGTCACCTAACCAAGGCACAAAAATTTCACCTATATTTTCTTCTGGAAGTTTTATAGTTACAGATATTACATTTAGGTCTGTTAACCATTTGAGTTATTTTTTGTAATGGTGTAAGGTATGAAGTTGTTAGGTTTTCCTTTTTTTGCATATGAATATTCAGTTGTTCCAGTACCAGTGGTTGAAAAGACTACCCTTTTTTGCACCTTTGTCAAAAATCATTTGACCGTGTACATATGGGTGTGTTTCTGGATGTTGCTGTGTTTCGTTAATCTCTTTTTGCCAGTGCTATACACGCAGTCTTGATTACCATAGCTTTAGAATAAATCTTGAAACCCGGTAGCCTGAGTCCTCCAGTTTTGTTCTTTTTTTCAAAGTTGTTTGGTTATCTGTCCTTTGCATTTCTACATGAATCTTAGCATTAGCTTATTGATTATTACAGGAAAAAGCCTAGTGGGATTTTGATTGGGATTGCAATGAATTTGATAGATCAGTTTGAAGAGAATTAGCATTTTAAGAATATTGAGTCTTCTGATCCATGAACATATATGTGTGTCCATTTATTGAGATCTCATTTAATTTCAACAGTGTTTTGTGGTTTTAGTGGGCTTTACATAAATTATATCATCCCATGTTCTTCTGTGCTTGCTTTTCTTAAAGTTTTTTTTGAAATTCACTCATTTTGAGGCATTTAGCTGTCCTTAATTCATTTTCTTTTCCTTTTAAAGATTTTATTTATTTATTAGAGAGAGAGGGAGAGAGAGAGAAAGCACAGGCAGGGGGAGTGGCAGGCAGGCAGAGGGAGAAGCAGGTCCCCACTAAGCAAGGAGCCCGATGCGGGGCTTGATCCCAGGACTCTGGGATCATGACCTGAGCTGAAGGCAGTCGCTTAACCAACTGAGCCACCCCTTAATTCATTTTCATTGTTATATGCCACTCTACTATATAAACATGCCATAATTTATTTGTTCTTTTACTGGTGACTGTTTAGGTTATTTCCAGTTGTTGGTTTTTTTTTTTTTTTTTTTTTTTGCTATTTCAAATAATGCAGCTATGGATATTCTTGTACATGTGAGCTAGTGCATATGGGCAACAGTTTTCGAGAGGTATAAACATGCCTATGAGTAGGCTACTGGTTTTTTGTCATATTGTTTTCCAATTTATATTACTATCAGTGTATAAGGGTTTTTTTTTTTTTTTTAAGTTTATTTTTTAGTCATCTCTACACCCAGTGTGGGGTTTGAAATCACAGCCCCAAGATCAAGAATTGCATGCTCACCTGATTGAGCCAGCCAGGCGCCCCAGGAGTGTATAAGTTTTTGTTACTCTCCATCCTCACCAATCAGGGCTGTCAGACTTCTTAATTTTTGCTAAGTGGTTGGGTATGAAATAATATCTCACTATGGCTTTAATATGCATTTTCTGAGTCTTAATGAGATTATCTTTTCGTATTTTTTCTTCTTTTCATATTTTTTCTTCTGTTAAATATCTATTCATCTCTTTTGCCCATTTTTAACTTACATTGTCTTAATACTTTTTAGGAGTTTTAAAAAATATATTTTGGGGCGCCTGGGTGGCTCAGTTGGTTAAGCATCTGCCTTCAGCTCAGGTCATGATCCCAGGGTCTTGGGATCGAGTCCCGCATCGGGCTCCCTGCTCAGCAGGGAGTCTGCTTCTCCCTATGCCCCTCCCCCTGCTCATGCACTCTCTCCCTCTCAAAAATAAATAAATAAAAATTTTAAAATATGTATATTTTGGATACTAGATATATCAGTTTTTAGTTATAAGTATTGCAGATATCTTTTCCTAGTTCATGGCTTGTCTTCTTACATCCTTTTTGGTGTGTGTGTGTTTAAGATTTTATTCATTTATTTGAGTGGGGGGGAAGAGAGATAACATGAGCACTGGGAGGGGCAGAGGGAGAGGGACAAGCAGACTCCCTGCTGAGCAGAGAGCCCCATGAAGGGCTCGATCCCAGGACCCTGAGACTCTGACCTGCCCTAAGTCAGTTGTTCAACCAACTGAGCCACCCAGGTGCCCCTCTTTTTGGTGTTTTTTGATGAACAGAAGTTGTGAAGCAACTCTAATATATTGAAGAGTTTAAAAGTAGACTTAACCCAACTTATCAATAATACATTTGAGCCCTAAATGCCATAGAAGCCTTAGTTTCAGATCTATTCTATGATTTACCTTTATAAATCTTAAATTTGACTATCCAGTCACATTATCTTCTCCAGTTATGGTTTTGGGGTGCAGAGGATGAGGGGAGATCCACTGTTTCTCTAAGGATCCAGTAACAAGTTTTACAAGCATGTTTTGAAATTTTTTCTTAAATTATCTTTTAGGCTGGACCAGAGTATGGTCAAGGAATGAACCCCATTAGCCGCCTGGCTCAAATTCAACAGGCCAAAAAGGAAAAAGAGCCAGATTATGTTCTGCTTTCAGAAAGAGGAATGCCTCGACGTCGGGAATTTGTGATGCAGGTATTTCTAGCATTTTATTAGAAAAAAAATTTTTAAACACTGAAAAAAAATTAGAAACCCACGGGTTGTAATAGAGGGAAAATGGGGGAAAGGCAAACTAGGAACTAATAAGTTTCTTTCCTTCCAGGCCCACCTACCAACTTGGTTGAAACATTCAGGTGTCAAGGACATGTTAGACGGTCTGGGTTTTTGAAGGGACTGTGAGTTCACACACGTTATTCACCACAGAGTTTATAGTTTAGAATGCCTATCTCTAACTTATGTTACAGTTTGTAGCCAGAGGCCTTTAACTACTGGGAAATAGGATACAGATGGAATTAGAGACATCATTTAGAAGATAGATGTCATAGATGGAATAGGGCCAAGAGCATGAGCTTTTGGGTTATCAGGAAAATTAGGAAAAGAAAGCTGACTTCCTGCCTAGCTATGGTGAGGACTGAGGGACTCAGAATTGCTGAGAGATTTAGGTATCTAGAGGTTTCGAGGTTTCAGATTGAGGCACAATGCCTAAAATACCGCCTTTTAAAATTCTGCCTATTTATCTTCATTTGCCAACTCAAGCCCCAGTATTGAAGAAACCTTTAATTCTTATTATGTAAATTTCAAACATCTCCAAAGGTGGGTATACTTAATAGTATACTATTAAACAATAATATAATGGAATAGCAATGACATATGAGGAATATGCCCACCATCCAAACACAGCAATTAAGATTTTTGCCACCCTTGTTTCAGCTGTCAGTTTTTCTTTCCTCCTTCCCTCCCTTCTTTTCTTAAGTATTTCAGAGCTAATATCTAGCCACATACCATTTCAGCCTACCTACTTAGTGTATATCACTAAAAAATATGGAAGTTTTCCTTTATGTTCTTACATTAGGCATGATTCATATTCATTAGAATCATCTAATACCCAGTCCATCTTTAAATTCTCCTTATTGTCCCAAAGCTTTTTATTATAATTGGCTTGTCAAAGAAACTTTTCCCAGTCAGACCCGTGGGTCTCACCTTTAATGTAATCCAGTTAAAATCCACAGATTTATTTATTAAGTGCTGACCATATGGTGGACATTTTGGCAGTAACACATAGTATTTCATATTGATTAACTTTTCATGCATATCTTTTTTTTTTAAGATTTTATTTATTTATTTGAGAGAGGGGGAGAGAGCCTGCGCACACAAGCCAGGGGAGGGGTCGAGAGGGAGGGAGAGGAAGAGGGAAAGAATCCCAAGCAGACTCAGTGCTGAGTGCAAAGCCTGACGCAGGGCTCAGTGTCACGACCCTGAGATCATGACCTGTGCCAAAACCAAGAATCAGTCACTTAACTGACTGAGCCATGCAGGTACCCCCTTTTCATGCATTTCTAAATTTTACCTTCTTTCCCAATTTATAATTTCCGCATTTCTTTATCTCACAGTACCCAATATAGTACATGTATATAGTAGTACCTTAAGAAACCTTTGGTGTATATTTGCTGCCTATCTGCCTGATTGAGAGCTAGTATGTTTGGCTTTGTTGGAGATGTAAACTTACGATGCAGTCACAGATAAACCGTGGTTGGGAACCTCGATATCCAAAAAGGTGGGGGATACTTCTATGGCTGGTAAGCACATTACTATCTACATGTCATTAGACCCAGAACAGTCTTATTCTAGTATTTTCACTTCATAAAATACTTTACCATTTTTCCTTTTACATGCTTAGTAGAACTCTAGGAAGAATTCTAGGAAGTATCTTTTGAATCCAAAACTTGAGGAGGGAAAAATCACCTAAATTTAGACCTGTATTAGGAATAAAAATTTTGACTTTATTAAAGTTTTTTTTTTTTCCTGTGGAGTATAAAAAGGAATTTAGAATATCTTAGGCCAGCTTCCATTTTATAGGTATTCATAAACATTCTAGTCAAATGGGAACATTTGGCTGTGCTTTTAAATGTTTTCACACTGAATTCATATTGCTTTTCCCCCTTCTGGAATTCCCAGTGGATTCATTATAGTATTGCAGCAAATTTATCAAAGTAAAGGCTTTTGTATAAACTACTTAAGCAATGTTATCATTTGTTACAATTGAATGTGGAAGTAAAAATATCTAGAGGTAATATGCTCATATTTATCTATCACCAAGGAAAATAACAGTAAGTTTGTATATTATAAAGTGGATGCAGTTACTTGTATTGATTACTAGACAAAAATCTCTGATGAGATTATTTGGGTATTTATTTTGAGAGCATATTTCTTAAAGCTTTTTATTTGTTTTTAGAAAGGGGTATATTTTAATTTTTTAAAGAGGAAATAATGACAACTAAATTAAGTGTATATCACATATACATATTGTGTATAGCACATTCTGTTAATTTTTCTACCAGTGATTAAAATCAGGTTTTTAAAAAATATATAAAGCAATTTTCATCAGTTTTTTTTTATTACTCATTGAAAGATAATGAATTAAGTCTTTGGTGTATGCTAGTTTAGAACTTTTTTTTAGCTTTTCTGAGGACTTGACTCACTTAAGTGATTTGTTTAAAGATAAAAATATGGCAGTCTTAAAGTTATTGTATAGCAAAATAATTGAACTTCTTTGCAGACAAATAAACATTTTAATGTAAAAATATTATTTGTAATAGTTAAAAATTTTTTGAGTTTTCTAGGAAGATGACTTATGAAGTTTATTTACATACATAATTGCCTTTATAATGATGTGATTTGTTTTGAGTGCCCACTGTGTTTGTTAGCAGGGAATCGAAGTGCTTCAGCACAGTCATCTTTTCCAATACTAACAAATAAGTCTGGGATAACTACCCGCAAACTATTGAATCATGCCACCATAAAAACTTGTGAGAGGCAAGGGATGGGTGAGTGGCAAAAATGAATCTGGAAGCCCCTGTTCTAGCAGTCAAGTCTTGAAGGTATCAGAATAGGTCAAATGGAAAGCTGCAGATACAGATCCAACGTGAATGCTCTTGAGATGGGAACAGCCTTACCCAAGAGCAGGAGACTGGAGTCAAAGAGTATCAGGCCTGGGTAGATAAATGGGATTTAGAGATGAAGCAGTAAAAGAATTGAATGAGAGTGAGTGAGGTGTATATAGCATGTAAAAACAGATGAAACATTTTTTGCTGCTCAGGGGTCTTGCTTCCATTTACTTTGGCAAGTCTTTTGACCTGCAGAGCAGTAGAGGAAGCTTCTGACGTAGATGGCCTAATCTGTTAGCTAGCAAGCATTCCAGCAACAACACAGGGGCTGGTGAAGCTGGGGAACAAATCAAACATTGGAAAAAATAACAGGTAGCAGAGGCCTGGCTCTAGCCAGGGACTCAAACACATTATACCTAGGGCCTGCTGTGTTCAGGTCAGGGCAGGCCAGCACAGATATGGGAGGTAGTATGTGTTCACTCAGCTCCAGGGATTGACTGGACAGTACTTGATCAGGGCTTCTGAGTGAGGTCCATAGACTACTGCTGTTTTATCATAGTGTGATGGTTTCTAGTTTCAGAAGAAAAAGCAGTGAAATGTTTCAAAGACAGTGTACAGGCTTGAAATACAACATTTGTGATAGTTGTTACAGAAATTCTACAATGAATACATTTTCAGTGTTTCATATGCTACAAGAACTATTAAAAGAGCATAATTTAGGGGCGCCTGGGTGGCTCAGTCGGTTAAGCGGCTGCCTTTGGCTCATGTCGTGATCCCAGGGTCCTGGGATCGAGCCCCACTCAGCAGAGAGCCTGCTTCTCCCTCTCCCTCTGCCTGCCGCTCCCCTTGCTTGTGCTCTCTATCTCTCTCTCTGTCAAATAAATAAATAATCTTAAAAAAAAAAAAAAATAAAAGAGCATAATTTATTTGTCATATAATTTGCACATTGTTTATATTTAAGTTTTTTTTTTCTAACCACTGTGTTTAGAAGTACTTCATTCACTGAAGCTTAAAAGTAGTGATAGAAATGCTAACACAAATAAAGCCTAAATACTGATATAAGAATGAATGGCAAACAGTGCATAAGTCTCATATGTTCTGAGACACATGAAGTAGCCAGTTATGCTTTCACCCAAAAGCCAAAAAAGAAAACTATGGGTAGAAGTATCAAAGCTTTATCTCTGAAAACTGAATTTAGTAGTACCACATACTAATTCATTGCTAGTACACAGTATATTGTAATTATGAAATTTTATTAAAGCAGCATGAAGCTATTGAAGCCAATTTTTTTCTAAACAAAGCACAGTGACATCTGGTAAAACATTCCAAATTTTCATATATAGTTGGCCTGTTCAGCTCTCTTGATTTTTTTTGTACTGGCTTTAAAAAAATAACATACAGGCATTCACTATATATTCTGGAATGTGAGTCTTTTTCAGTTACATGGCATTTCAAATATCTTTTCTTGTGTTGTGACTTATTTTTTTTCCTCCAATTTTAGTGATGCTCTTTTGAGAAACAGAAGTAATTAACTTTAATGCAGCCAAATTCTTCCTCAAAAGGATCTTGGGTGGTCTTAGCACTTTGTACTTCCATGTAAATTTTGGAATCAGCTTGTGAAGTATTATAAAAACGTGTGGGATTTTGATGGGAATTCATTGAATTTATAAGTCAATTTGAAGAGAACTGGTATCATACTGATTTTCAGTACATTCTATTTTTAAATTTTTAAAAAACTTTATTTCATTATCTCTAATAGGTCTATCTTAATTTTTCTCAGTGCTTATTATTTTCTATATAAAGTTCTTAACATCATAGGTATTTGATTTTCATTTAGTATAAATGGTATCTTAGCTTCCAAGATCAGACCAGATCCCCTGCGTTCAGGATGGGATGGCCGTAGACTTAGTATAAATGGTATCTTTTACTAATTTCCTACTTGATTGTTGATAGGATATAAAAATGCAGTTGGCTTTTGTATACTACTGTTTACATAGAAAACTTAACACTCTTATAAATTCTTATAATTTATCTGTAGGTATTCTTGGATTTCCTATATAAATATCGTATCTCCAGATAATGACAGTTTGTTTTTATACTTCTAACTCTATACCATATTTTTTCTTGCCTTATTGCTCTGTCTAGGATTTGTAGCAAAATGTTAAGTACTAGTGAAAATAGAGGGCATCCTTGCCTTGTTTCTAATTTCAAGATTTCAACATTAAGTATAACATTTGTTGAGGTTTGCTGTAGGTTTTTTGCAAAATGCCCTTTCCTACTAAGGACGTTCCCTTTTTTCTCATGAATGGATGTTGAGTTTTATCAAATGCTGTTGCTCCATTTATTAGGATGACTCTATGTTTTGTCCCCTCAACCTATTAATATAGCAGATTCTGTTGATTGATTTTGAGTTTCAAATGTTAGATCAATCTTGCATTTCTGGGATAAACCTAACTTTGTCATGATTTTTCTTTTTATATATTGCTTTGTTCAGTTTACTGTTATACAGTTTAAACTTTAGCAGTTATATTCATGAATGAAATTGGTCTGTAAATTTTCTTTCTTATACTGTTCTTGTTGGATTTTGGAATAAAAGTGATACCTCACTGAATAATTGGAGGCTGATTTCTCTTTTTCTATTCTTAGATGAATTTTTGTAAGGTTAGCATGATTTCTTCCTTAAATATTAGGTAGAACTTGCTGGAGAAGCTCTCTGGAGTTTTCTTTATGGAAAAGGTTTTAATTATTGTTCTAATTTTTTTTTTTAGTAGTTAATAGAGCTGTATAGTTCGGAGTTTATTCTGTGCCAGTTTTGGTAACTTATATTATTGAGGAATTTTTCCACTTTATTTAAATACTCAAAAATTTTTAGCTAAAATACTCAACATCCCTTATTGTTTTTTAAAGATTTTATTTATTTGACAGAGAGAGAGAGAGCACAAGCAGGGGGATCAGGAGAGGGAGAAGTAGGCTCCCCGCTGAGAAGGGAGCCGGATATCCTACTCAACCCCAGGACCCTGTGATCGGAACCTGAGCCAAAGGCAGATGCTTAACCGACTGAGCCACCCAGACACCCCTATCCCTTATTATTTTTTAATTCTACAGAAGCTATAGTAATCTCCCATTTTCATTCTTATTTGTGTCTTCTCTTACTTTTCCTTGATCAGTCTTAACCTTTGATTTATCATTTTATTAGTCTTTTCAGGGAACCAACTTTTGGCTTTTTGAAATTTTCTATTGTATTTTGTTTTCTGTTTCCTTAATTTCTGCCCTTGTCTTTATTCTATTTTCTTTGGATTCATTTTGCTCTAATAACTTCTTGAGCTGGATGTTTAGCTCATTACAATCCTGCCATTCTCTTAAGTTTTTATGGCTGTATATTTTCTTCTCGACCCTCCTTTAGCTGCATCCTTTAAATTTTGATATATTTCTGTTATTACTCACTTAAAATATTTTCTAATTTTATTGGGGTTTCTTCTTTGCCTGTAGATTATTCAGACTACATTGTTTAATTTATAAAGTTCTGATTATTTTCTTGTTTGCGTCTTTGATCATTTATTGAGACCAATTCATAAAAAACAAATCCCACTGTAGTTATGTGTTTTTTATTTCTCCTTGTAATGCTATACTTTCTGCTTTCTTTTTAAAATTAAAAAAAAAATTTTTATCTGGGGATGCATGGGTAGCTCAGTCAGTTAAGTGTCTGCCTTTGGCTCAGATCATGGTCCCAGGGTCCTGGAATGGAGCCCCATGGCAGGCTCCCTGCTCAGCAGGAAGTCTGCTTCTCTCTCTGCCCAAGCCCCCCACTCATGCTTGCACTCTCTCTCTAAAATAAATAGAATCTTTAAAAAATTTTTATTTATTTTTAAATTTTTTCCTTTTTTCAGTCTTTTAATTTATTATATAAATAATACTAAATGTAGTCATAACCAACATATACTCTGTTACAATGTGAATTTTATTTTTCTACTTATATAAATAATATTGTTTAAAAAATCAAATAACATAGAAATATGTAAGGAAGTAAAAATCATATAAGGTTCTGTCACCCTGAGATAAACCCCCATTGTCATTTTGAGGACCATATTGTCATATTTTTCTCTACGTATATTTTCACTTGTATATATAACATTATGTAAATGGAATAGTATCTTTTTTTTTTTTTTAAGATTTTATTTGTTTATTTGACAGAGAGAGACACAGCGAGAGAGGGAACACAAGCGGGGGTGGGGGGGAGTGGGAGAGGGAGAAGCAGGCTTCCCGCCGAGCAGGGATCCCGATGCAGGGCTCGATCCCAGGACCCTGGGATCATGACCTGAGCCGAAGGCAGACACTTAACAACTGAAGCCACCCAGGCACCCCTGGAATAGTATCTTAGTTGCTGTTTTCATTATGGATGAAACTTTATATTTTTGAATGCTAGAGAGCATAACACATTGTTTTATGGTGTTAAAGAGTTCCTGTTTGCCAAAGCAATTATCATCACTTTCTTACTTTAATCTTACCAGGTCAAAGTAGGCAATGAAGTTGCTACTGGAACAGGACCTAACAAAAAGATAGCCAAAAAAAATGCTGCAGAAGCAATGCTGTTACAGCTTGGTTATAAAGCATCCACTAGTCTTCAAGATCAACTTGACAAGGTGAGAGCTCAATTTACATATACATATGCCTATCCTGTCAGAATATCAGAGTGATGAACAAATCCTATTCCAGTGTTTTTGACTCTAAGTAATGTCTTAACTACTGTTAAAGTAGAAGTCAATGTTCCTCCCCCACCCCAGGGCAGTATTCTGTATCTTTAAAGATAGATTCTCCAGGTACAAAATAACATCTGTTTATGGGGCCAAGATGAAATATTAATCATAATCTTACGGTTGGCAAATACTAAAAAATTGTATCATTGTATATATTTTATATAATACCAATTGAACAATTTTTAGTTTATTGACTCGTGGTTTTTGCCATTTGGCCACAGTTTTAATTTGTATTTTTTAAAGAACAGAGTTTGTTAGCCTTTATTTCTGGAATACAGCTGAAAACACTGGAAATAAAGATCCTGAGTTATCCCTTTAGGGCAGGAACTATATTGGACAGGCGCTCTATAAACTAATTTTTCTATTTACTTTAAATTTAAAGGTAAACTCAGAGGGTGTTTATTTTCTGCCAAGACTTATGTTCATGGTCCCCTATTTCTTCTGCAGCAGTTAATGACATCATTAACACCTACCTCTGTTGCAAGAGAAGCAGAGAACCTCAAATTCAGCACTTGGCAGATAACTTAGCAGGAACTAGTTTAATTCCATTTTGTATTACCATTTTATCTATGCATATATAGAAATTATTTTTATTAAACAATGTAATAAATGAAATTCATAAAACAGGCTTAATAATTATTTCTATCAAAAACAATATGCCCTTTTTTCCCATGCCGTTTTCTCACATAAGGATTGTGTTTTAGAGATGTTTTCAGTTTCTGCAGGAACACATTTCTGAAATTTGTAGTAAAAACAAAATCACCTGTTAAAAACATTTTCTTTTTAAGACAGCTGTGAATATCTAGGCAATTATTTTTAGTGATTAAGAATTATTTGTCTGTGTGGTATTGCTAGAGATTTCAATTCTGTTTTTATAACCTGGCTAGTCAATGCTTTTTCTTCTCTTAAAAGTACTTGTAACATGAAACCTAACATGTGTTCAAGATTCTGTCGTTCTTATATTGTGTATATGTTGTTTTAACTTAACACATTTATATTGACTTAAAACTGGTGAGTGATTTATAAAAATACGTCAAAATAAATCTCCTCATAGACATGTATTTGTATGTTAAGTGAAAATAGAACAAAAAGCATTGATTTTATTAATACGAAAAACATTTGTATACCCACTATATTATTGTTCAGGGTTCTCCAGAGAAACAGTCCAGCAGAATGTGTATGTGTGTGTGTGTATGTATCTGTATGTGTGTATGTATATATACACATTTCATACATCACTCACAGAGACTTATTTTAAGGAACTGGCCTGTGCAGTTGTAGAGGCTTGGCTAGTCCAAAATCTGAGGGAGAAGCCAGCAGGCTGGAGAATCGGGAGTTAGATGTGAGTCCAGAAGCTTTCTGCTGAGTTCCCTCTTGCTTCAGGGGAGGTCAGCCTTTTCTTCTAGGTAGGTCTTCAACTGATTAGGCCCACCCACATTACGGAGAGGAATCTGCTTTACCCAGAGTTCAGTGATAAATGTAAGTCTCTTCCAAAAACACCCTCACAGAACACCCAGAATAATGTTTGATCAGGTATCTAGTCACCATGGTCCAGACAATGACACATAAAATTTACCATTGCACCCACTGAATGCCCAACACTTATAACTGAAGATAACAAGATGACTGAAACTTGGTCCCTACACTCGAAAAACTAACCCTTAAGTGTTAACAATGAGGAGCTTTAATCATATAACAAAAATTACAGTACCCTAGAACCTAGAGAATATGAAGATGAATCTGGAAAGTTAGGAATAGCTGGGACCATGGTTTTTATGTGAATTAAGGAACATGTTAAGGTTTGAACACGAAAGTGATATGATCTGGTTTGCATTCTTCAAAAGACAATCCTGTAAGTAACATAGGGAGTGTATTTGAGCAGGATGAGACTGAAGGCTGAGAGGCCAGTGGGCTAGCAGAGCTGTTCAGGTAAAAGATGCTGAGGGTCTGAACTCAGGCAGTGGTGGCAGAGAAGAGAGGGGAAAGATATGTGAGGTATTTCTGAAGTGTACGTGATAAGCTTTCAGTAGCAGATAATGTGTGTCGGGGAGACGGGAGGGAGGAGGAAAGAACACCTATAAATAGGAAGAGAGAGTGACTTTAAGAAGTAGGTAGCAGTCATATGCTGCAGGGAGACTGGGAGAATACTGAATACACTGATTTGTCAATTAAAAAAATCTGTGATGAATGAAGCAAAAGCAGTTTAAAAACTTGCAAAAGCATGTTTTTAAAAGTTTTTTTAATAAACAAGGTATGTACATGGCTAAAAGAATTCACATGGCATGAAAGAGTGAACAGTGAGAAAAAGTCTTACTTCACTCTGAGACCCTTGGTCTCTTAGTCTCTCTTTTGAATAGCATGTCCCACAATGAGTTAATAGTTGTACAGCATTTAGAATACTGTCAAATATAGTGAATATTATATAAGAATTTGATAAATAGAAATAAATATCTTTACAGAGATATTCTGTGTGTATATACTAATATATCCCCATTTTATAAAAAATTCAGATTTATCAAGGTGCAGTTCAGTGAATTTTAACATGTGTGTTTATATGTGTATATACATTCATTAACTACCACCACAATTAAGATGTATAATATTTCTGTTACCCCAAAAAAGTTCCCATTTGTAGGTAATCTCTTCCCCTCTCCTTAGCCCCTGGCAAGCCCTGATTTGATTTCTCTTTCTATAATTTTGCCTTTCCAGAATGTCATATAAATTGGATCATACATTAGGAAGCCTTTTGTGTCTGGCTTCATAATGCTGAGATTCATCTGTGTTGTTGGATTTATCATTAGTTCTTTTTTATTGTCTCTTATTGTTTTAGTCTTCACCAACATTTGGGCTCTTTCTAGTTTGAGACTATTGTAAATTAAGTGGCTGTAAACATTCATATGTAAGTCTTTATATGTATATATTTCTCTAGTATATTCTTTATGTCCATATTTGTATAATAAGCGCATGTGTAACTTTGTTAAGAAACTGTGAAGATGTTTTCCAGAGAGACTGTACTAATTTGTATTCCCAGTAGGAGTGTTTGAAAGCTCTAATTACTTCACATCTTTTCCAGCTTTTGGTATTGTTGGTATTGATAGTTTTGGTTATACTAGTAGGTATATAATGTTATCTCACTAGAATTTAATTTGCATTTCCCTAGTAACTGATATTGTTGAATATCTTATCATATGTTTATTTACCATTCATATCTCTTCCCTGAAATGCCTGTTCGAAGTTTTGTCTTTTTGATAGTTTGCTTTCTTATTGAGTAGTTGTAAGAGTTCTTTACATATTTTGGACACAAATTCGTTATCAGATAAAGAACTCCCCTGCCTTCTCCTTCCCTTCCTTCCTGTCCTCTCCTTTCCTCCTTTTCCACATAGGTTATCCAGTTCTATCATCTGTTTAAAAGATTAATGCTTTTCCATTGAATTCTCTTAGCACATTTGTTGAAAATCAGTTGACCACATATTTGTGGGTCTGTTTCTAGATTCTCTATTCTGTTCCATTAATTCATATGTCTATCCTGAAGCTATTACAAGTATGTATAGACTGTAGCTTTTCAGGTAAGGTTGAAATCCAATAAAGAACTCTGTCTTTGTTCTGTTTGTTTGTTTGTTTATTGGCTAGTTTGGAGCCTTTGCATTTCCATAGAAATTTTAGAATCAGTCTCTATCAAGAAAAAAAAGCCAATTGGGAAGATTTCTTTAGGACTGTGCTGACTACATAGATCAGTTTCACATAAATCAGTATCTTAATATGGAGTCTTTCATCTATGAACAAGGTCTAGCTCTCCATTTATTTAGGTTTTTAGAAATATCTCACAGCAATGTTTTGTACTTTTTCATAGAAGTATTTTACAGTTTTCATGTTTATCCCTAAGTGCTTCATGTTTTTGGGTATATTACTAATGGCATTTTTTTTAATGGTGTTGGTTTTTAAACCAATGGCTGTACCATTCAATTTCCAATTCTTCTTTTCTATTGTATAGAAATACAGTTGGTTTTATATATTGACCTTGTACTCTGCGACCTAACTAAGCTGAATTATAAGTTATAATAGCTTATTTTATAGATTGTGTGGGATTTTCTGCATTGATGAACTTGTCGTCTATGAATAAAAACAGTTTTATTTCTTCCTTTCTAATCTGTATGCTTTTATCTACTTGTCTTGCTTTATTGCTCTGAATAGAGCATCCGGTACAATGGTGAACAGAAGTGGTTGATTGTTGAATTGGAAGGCAGATATCCTTACCTCACTCCCCATCTTTAAAGGAAAGTCAGTCTTTCACCATTATAAATACCATGATGATTGTAGGTTTTTTTTCATAGATACTCTATATCAGATTGATATTTCCTTGTATTCCTGCTTTATTAAGAGATTGTTTTTTTTACTTAATTATCAGTACATTTTAAATTTTACCAAATGCTTTCTCTGCATCTGTTGATATGTCATATAATTTTTCTGTTTAGTTTGTTGTAATGGTGAATTTCACTGATGGATTTTTAAAATTTATGTAATATGTAAATAACAAAAAAAATACAATTTTAACCATTTTTAGGTGAACATTTCAGTGGCATTAACTACATTCACAGTGTTGTACAGCCATCACTGCTATCTACTTCCAGAATGTTTTCATCATCCCAAATAGAAACTGTACACCATTAAACACCAACTCCTCGTTCTTCCCTCTACTCAGCCCCTGGTAATCTCTGTTTTACTTTCTATGTCTCTGAATTTGCCTTTTCTAGGAACCTTCTGTAAGTGGAATCATGCAATATTTGTCCTTTTTTGTTGGGCTTATTTCATTTAGCATGTTTTCAAGGTTCATCCATGTTGTAGCATTTATAAGAATTTCATTCCGTTTAAAGCCTGAATAATATTCC